ACTCACCAAAGCATATTCTTATTAACTTGCCAGACAGCCAACAAAAACCAAGAATTTTAAAAGGTGTCAGAGAAAAACAAAAAAATCACATATAAAGGTAAACCCATTAGAATTATAGCAGACTTCCCAACACAAATCTTAAAGGCAAAAAGAGCTTAGAATAGAATATTCAAGCCCTAAGAATAACTTCCAACCCAGATAAACATGCCAAACAAAGCTTTCCTTCAAAATAGGTGGGGGGGAGGGGGACATTTCATGGAAAAGACCAAAACATAAATGAATACTAAACCAGCACTCCAGAAAATATCCAAGAATATTCTAAACAGAAACAACAAAACCAAAAATGTTAACCAGATGAAATGAAAATACCAAGCAAGGACAATGAATAGGAAAAAAAAACAGGAAAAGAAAAGGGTCTAATCAACAAAGAAAAAATTTGATAGTAAATGATCAACACATCTCAATAATAATCTCTCACGTTTAATGGCCTCAACTTTCCAAATACACAGATTGGAAGACTGGATCAAAAATCAAAATTCAGTATGTTACATTAGGTAACTCATCAAACAAATTCATAGACTAAAAATCAAAGGTTGGAAAACAATATTTTATGCACAAGGACTCCCAAAACAAGTAGCAGTTTTAATCTCAAGACATGATAAATTTCAAGCTAAAATTTATTAGACAGAAAAGATCACTACATCCTGTTTAAGAGAATAATCCTTCAAGCAGAAATAACCCTTCTAAATATTTATGCACCAAATACTGGGGCAAGCACTTGCCTGGTGAACCAAAAGGTCATGAGTTCAATCCCTGGTACCAAAAACCAAAACATAAAACATTCCTAAAGAATGAATCAACCAATGGGCTAGAGAGGAAATTCTTAAACATTGGAAGTTAATGGCAATTCCTGTACAACTCAAATAAAAGCAGTCAGCTGAAGGGGAAAGTCTATTGCAATTAATGTTTATGTTAGGAAGACAAGGGAAGTTCAAATAAATAACTTCTTAAGTATCTTTAATATACTTGAGAAACAACAGTCGAGACCCAAACTGAAATTAAGGAAGGAAATCATAAAGATTAGAACAAAAGTCAATGCAAGCGAGACAAAAAAACACAAAGAATCAATGAATCAAAGAGCTAGTTCTTCAAAAGAATAAAGCAGATAAAGTTTTAGCCAAACTTACCAAGACAAAAAGAGTTGCACTCAATCGCAGTGCAATTAGAAATTTAAAAAGGAGAAATCACAGCACACACTGTTAAAATCCAGAAAATAGTTAATAACTTTGAAAAACTGTATCCCCATAAACTTGAAAATTAAGGAGAAATGGAAAGATCCATAGACTCACACAAATTACCAAAGCTAACTCAAGAAGACACAAAAATGCTGAACAAACCAGTAAGAAGCAATAAAATTCAAATAATAATAAGGAATTTACCCCCCCCCAAGCCCAGGAACTGATGGATTCAATATTGCTGAATTCTATAAAATATTTAAAGATATTATACCATGCATATTCCTCAGACTCTTGAAAGAAATTGAAAGTGACAATACGCTTCCATACAGCATCACACTGATTCCAAAACCAAATAAAGACCCAACTTAAAAAAAAAAAAAAAAAGCTATAGGCCAGTCTCTTTAATGAACATAGGTGCAAAAATCCTCAACAAGGTATTAGCAAATAGAATGCAACACATTGTCAAAAAGATCACATATCATGATCAAGTAGGTTTCATCCCAGAGATGATTCAGCACACACAAATCAATAAATGTAATATATCACATAAACAGAAGCAAGGTCAAGGTCCACATGATCATATTAATAGATCATAGTAATAGACAAGGCTTTTGACAAAATCCAAAACCTCTACATGATAAGAACTAAAAATAGTTGTAAAAGGAGCATACCTGCATTTGATGAAAGCTACTTGTGACAAACCAACAACTATCATATTAAATGGGAGAAAACTAAAAGTATTCCCACAAAAATTAGGAAGAAGACAAGGATGCCCACTGTCACCATTTCTATTTAACATAGAACTCAAAACATTAGCCAGAGCAATTACGCAAAAAGAAAAGAAGAGGGATACATATAGAAAAGGAAGAGCTGAAATTATTTGCATATGATATACAATACATAGAGGACCCAAAGAATTCACCAAAAAGCCTTAGAATGTGTGACCAACTCTAACAATGTAGCAGGATACAAAATCACACAAAAATCAATAGCATTTGTGTATATCAATGAGTTTAGAAGGAAACTATGAGAAGATATCATTCACAGAAGCATCAAGAAAACTGAAATATCTAGGAGTTAAACTAACCAATGAAGTAAAAGGCATCTACAAAGAGAACTACAGTACTCTGAAAAAGGAGATTGAAGAGGACATCAGAAAATGGAAAGTCTGAGGTGCGGCTGAGTGAGGCCAAAGCCATCATCATCCATGGAAAGCCCGGGAAGTTTGGATGGACATGAGGGACTCAGGAAGAGAGTAAGGCTGGACCTTGAATACCAAAAAAGAGAAGGGATGGGAAGGGAAAAGCCGAAGGACTTATGCGTCTCTGGCAATCTAAATTTAAGGTAGATTATAGTCCTTGAATTTATAATTCCAAAATATGTTTTCACGGAAGAAACTAAAAACTGGAGAGTGAATGGGGAAATGTTACTCATTTCAATTCTACAAATATTTTCATATTTCCTTTGGGATAGGAAAGGGATAACGATGAGACAGAGATGGGGGAAAGAGAAACTAATGATGCAACTCTACAAAATTGTCTTTAATTTTTACAGTAACCCAGGAGGTTGGTGCTGTTATCCTTATTTAATGCAAATAAAGTTGAACTTAGAAGATACACAGTCAGCCATGTGGCCAGATATTGAAGCCAAAACTATATTGAACTTTAAAATAGGTCTTTAGAGCATTAAAAAAAAATTAAAGTCAATTAGATTAAGCATAGATAACAAGTAGATATGTGGGAATCAGAAGCCACAGGGAAGCGTAAAATGACTGAGAAATAGCTACTCCTCTACATAGTCCCTGTCAAGATAAAATCAAAGCAATCTCAGATCAAATTCTCTACATACATATTTTTAAACTACGTTAATTAGCAAATAAACTCAACAGTACATCAATCTGTTCTGTAAAACTTGAAGTCTCTCAAATCCATTATTTTATGTTGTTCTGCCATCATCCTGCAGAAAAAATACTGACATCTCTTGTTACCTGCTAAGGATTGGTTACAAGACTCCTGTGAATACCAAAATCAGGTGCTCAAGTCCACATGGTATTTGTTTATAAGCTTAATACATGCTCCCATATACTAAATCTTCTCTAGATTACTTGTAATGCCTAATTCTGCACAAATGTCATCTAAGTAAATGCAATACTATGTAGTTTTGGGAATGACACCACAAATGAGTCTGTGTATGTTCAATACAGACACAACTGTTGGGGGGATGGTTTCAGTTCACAGGTGAATCCACAGATGTGGAAGTTCTGTGGGGGGTCCACTGTATGTGAGTCAACCTGACAGCACTCCAGACCCAGGATACTATGACTCCCAATAGTCAGCGGCAGGCTCCAGAAATCATGTAATCCAGGAACCCACCCTCCAACTTGATGCTTACAGGCTTCATTAGAGTCTTATTCCCTTTTATTACAGAACCACAGAAGTCCAGCTGCACACCTGAATCCCTTAAATGATATCTCTTTCTTGAATGTGTTTTTTTCTAATTGAGCTATTAATTTTATCAAAGAAGACCATTGCTGTCATATATCTACTCTAGTAGAAAACTAGTCTCATCAGTTCTATCTGTTGACTAGCTCTGATTGGATTCTAGTTGATCACTCCTATCCCTGGAGTTTAATACATAAAATCTGTGCATCATGTTCTTGATGGTGAAATAAAGTAATGGCCAAAGCAAGGGAGACCTATTATTCTTTAGGCCAGACCGTAGATGCAATAGGAGCTAGTCCAGGACTGGGTTGCTGTCCTACAAGAATCCAGTACCATGTTGTTTTGTTCTTAACCAGGTTGTTTCATATGTGTTGCTTCTGGCTTCTGTGTCAGATTATAAAGTCCTTGGAGGGAGAGTCATAATTTTTTATTCTTCCACAATGACCAGTACAGTGCTAGATATATAGGTGTATATACAGAGTCTGAAAAAAACGTGCATCAGGAAAAGAAAACTTGTATAAATATTGTAATGCTGAATTTATTGAGATATAATACGATTAATACAAATTACCTTTGGCCTCTACAATTACAAGGACTCAGAATGGTGGCCATCAGCTCCAGGCATGTATTGGTACAGCAAACTGCTGAAGTGTGCATACATTTTTTTTTTTTTTTGGCAGACTGTGAGTCTAGAATCAATCCTCCTTAATCATTAAAATCTACGTCAATATCTTTGAAGTCTTTTAACATTATGATCCTTTTAGATTTGCTTTGAGATTCTAAACCATCTCAATAGCCTGAAAGCCTAATTTTTAAAGCTGACTCACTTGAAATGACTCAGCAGAGTGGGGCTGGAGTGAGCAACAGGAACGATATACATATTTATGTAGGGTTTTTTCCTATCAGTTCCAACATCTTTTTACCTCCATCAGCAATAAAGACAAACTGTGAATCATAACATGCAAACAAATAGTGGTATTCAGCTTCATTTCAGAACTTTTCAAAGTCCTTTTGTCCGTTCACAAATTTAATTATCTGGGCCACTAACTCCTACAAGACAAGGCTGCCAGTGGGTTGGTTTTCATCCTGGGCCGAAAAGCACTGTAATACTTGAATGGGAAGAGCTTTAACTACAGGGACTGCAGGTTGCCGCGCTCGACAGACAAAAGGGAAGGTACACAGCCCTTAGTATTTACTATGTAATTACCGTTCTTAGTTCCTCGTGGCAGGGAGTGCTGAGTGTTTGGCCTCCTTAAGCAATAGCAGCTAGTACAGGGCCAACCTGTGGCCCCACCCCAGGCCAGAGAGCCCTCGCTGGGTTTCCTGCTTTGTTTTTAACCATTGCTCAACTGTGTGAAGTTCTGAGAACTTTGGCGTGTAAGACTTTGGGCGCCTTTTTGGGAAAAGAACTTGCAGATCAGCTCCAGTGTACTTCCGATGAGGACAAAATCTACTAGTGAGGTAAGAACATCTTTAAAACAAAAAAATCTCAGTTCTTTCTGCAACTGTTCAGAAAAAGGAAGAAGCACTAATTCTCGTACTCTTCTTCTCCACAAGAGTTGTCTCACTACAGTCTGGGAAGCAAGGGTCCAGGGCTAAAGTAGATTGACCCAATAGATTTCCTTAACATCATGCACATACCGTGTAAGACCATGTGCGGTCAGACTTACAGATACTGTTGTTTAAGGAACCCTTCTCACAAACAGGTCGAGTTCCAGTGTACCTTATATAAACTTCACAAGGAGTGAAATAATTCTACATCCTTGATTCCTGCGTGAGCCTGACCCATACACAGACACATACACACTTTATTATTATTACTTGTAAAAATTCAACCTAGGTAACCTGGTTCAGTGCTCACGCTTAGAGATTTTTACTTTAACAGCTTGCCAATATTTGATTTATTATACATTGCAGTTTTTTTCTCAATTTAGAGTGTTTCTACTTTAGAAATCTGTCTTACATTCTTGTGAAACATGATGCTAAAGCAACTAGAACTAAAATCTCTTAGTTCAAGCAATGCTACATTTAACAGTGTATTAAGTCAAGTCCTTACCCCTTTAAAATGCTTCTGGGCTAAATTCTGTGACTTCCCCACAAATATGTTGAATTCTCATCAGTAATATGTTAGATCATTTATTTTAGTTTCATATACTTTAAATTGTAACTACTATTCTAAAAAATATTTCTGGCTTTGAGACACATATAAATCTTGCTTTTTATTTTCTTTCAACAGTATGATTGTGTACTCCTTGATTCTACATGTAAGATTAGAGTCTAGGTTAGGCTGACTCCACATGTTCTACTGTCCCTTCTGTGCTTGAAACTCTTAGTATTTTTTGAAATTGTTCGTTGCTTAATTATTAATCCTCAGCGAACAAGAAAAAAATGAGTTTCATATATATATATATAAAATTCTATATATATGATTCTATATACACACACACACAAAATAAGTGAAAACCTAGAATCTCTTACTCCTTTGAGATTTGGTCTGGTTAATAACCATGCCCATAGGTGGACTTCGTTTGTTTGTTTGTTTTATTCTTGGAAAAACACTGTCATCAGGAGGAGGGGAAATGATATCAGTTCAGTTTGCTACCTACCCATTTAGACGACGGGAAGACACTGGCCTCTTCCCCAGTGTTCAGTCTGTAGCCCCTCAATCTTGAGTCAGCTTAAAGGAGAAGGAATGCCATGTGCTTCAGCTGTCACAGTGGTTTTCAGGACATATGCCAGGCACAGGCGATGGCCAAATGCTTTAGTTCATTTAATACAACAAACCTTTAAAACATGTATTAGCCCAATTTCACATATAGAAAAGGAAAATAAACCTTTTTGGTTTTGTATTATTTTGCTTTGTTTTTAACTTTCTGATTTTAAAGATGGTTTAAAGACTAAAAAGGTTCAAGATTCGAAAATTAATCATAAATGTAGGGCAACATATTCTGAAGGTTTCAAAAAGTCTTTGAAAGTTTTTGTCTTTGTGTAACAGGAACCTGTTATCTGTATGGGTTACACAGAGGTGGCTGAGTCTTCTTAGCTTCCAGCATCTAATGGACTGGTACAAATTCATCCTGTTACAATTTATCCTGTTACAAATTTATAATGATTTGGTTTGGGTCCTTTCTGACAAAAGATGAGGATAGTCATCCCCAGCAGCAAATAACAGTCTTCCGTGTATTTAAGAAAACAGACTGTGCCTACAATTTCTCAGACTCATGGTGAGTCTGACACATCTGACAACTGCCCCTGTTGGCATGAGGATGTAGGAACTGTTACCCCAACCGACTCATCTGTGTTCAGAAATGGAACCCGGTCCAGTGATTCTGCTATGATCTTCAGATACAGTTCAAGAGATGGGGATCTGCAGTGTCTGAGCCATGATTTTAAGGCCTTGGTATCATTATCTCTTAGCTTTATCCCAGCCCTAAGAGCACTATTCTTGCCATTCTATAGGCCAGGACACCAAGTACTGTCTAAAAATTCATGTGACTGCTGGAGTCACTTTTTTCCCCCATATGCTTTTCATTAAATGTTAATTTCCTAGTGGGACCTGCAAGCCAGGCCCCTGCCCCCTTGAGACTGATTAACTCACAGATGGGGTAACGGGGCCTTCAGGTCACTGTGAATGGGAGGGTAGTGGCCTGTGGCTGAGGGAAAGTTGCTTGGGAAACACATTTGTCCTTCAAGCTCAAAGCCTTGAAAGCTTATGCCAGATCCAGCCAAGACTGGCTGTGGAATTTTAGAATTTCAGAAATTCTGTGAGACTTTAATAATGTTTGAAATTAGATCACAGAATTAAATTACAACCATACCCATAGGTGGACTAAATTATAATTTTTAAAAATACTCAAAACATTTTCTAGATTTTTTTTACTATTTTCTGTTTTCAGGTTACCTTCATATATTTGTGTAGGAGAAATACTATATAATACTATATAGAAATACTATAGTATAATGCTATACTTTTTCTTTCCACCTGTGATCAGTACTCAGCATGGCTAGCTTGAAATCAGACATGGCAGGAGCAGTTATGTCATGGAAATTGGCAAATACTATAAATCAGGAATGATTTTCAGTTGTCTGTAATTAAGAACATGATGAAAATGTCAGTGTGAATAAGCGTTAAGGTAGATTGACTCAAGCTAGAGGTAGTGAAAAATGCTTGTAATCCTAGCGCTCTGGGAGGCTGATACTGGAGGATTTCAAGTCGGACCTCAGTTTGGGCAGCTTAGAGCTTAGCTCAAAATTTTTTTAAAGAGATGGGTACATAACTCAGTGTGAAGGCTCTGGATTCAATCCCTAGGGTTAAAAAAAAATTTTTTTTTAAATAGATTGAGTCTATGACTGTTGTATGAGACAGTAACACAAAACAATTCCTTGAGGATATTTTTCTTCTATTATCCAAAAACTGTTATCTGATTCAGCAAAACTTTGCTTATGTAATTCATGAACAAGTGAAATCCTCACATAAGTTCATTATTTCACTTTCTTCTAAATTGTTAAGTAAAAATGTTAATCAACATTCACATCAGAACTTTTTCTACTCGTTAGTTGCCTTGATAAGTTGACTACAGGTAAAAAATACAACAAAACTCACTAAGGTCATTCTGTGAAAATCAGTGGCCCACACAATTTATTGGTTTTTAAAATATTTCTACATTGTACTATATACTGTTTATTTATAATAAGTATCTCTTTGAGCAGCTGGTAAATATTTGCTGGGGTGTTTTCCTTTCAAATGCTCCCTCCTCATCCAGAGAAGCTGTTTGCCATGTCTGTGTCTGTGTGTCTATCTGTATCGATCTCTTCCACCCCTTCTCCACCTTCAAATAAATTGTCTGCTTTTATTTAAGAAAAAAACTCACCAACACACCACTGCCTACAAAATATAACTGATTTGCAAACTTTTCACTTACCTAAAGATGAGAAATATGCCGACTAGTGGTAATGAACCTTCCTCATCCATAGCAAAACTGAATACTGTAAAGAAATCTTGCGATTGTTCAAAAGCAGGTTACAAGTAAGTCATGCATTTTGCTGTGGTGTGTATGGCAACACGCTAATTTTATTAATGAAGATTATAGATTCCATTTAAGGTATCACTGGCTTAAGGAGCAGAAGTTGCCTCTCCAATACACACATTAGTTTATGCAGTTTGTATTCTATATATCCAACTAAGAAAACATGAAGGACTGAAAAATTCGGGATTTAAGCCCATCGTATATCCACTTCATTGAGTAAATTAAAAGTAGACTTAACAGTTTGTTTCTAGGTTTGCTTTGTTTCTACCCTAGAAATACTCTTGTGACCTGTGGACTGTCCTGTATATTTTTATATACTCAACTACTTACGTCTACTTTAATTGATTTTGGATTATTTCCACAAACTGTTTCCGCATTACATTCTATACCACAGAAGGTGGAGCTATTTTGTTGATTTTAGCTTACAAATTAGCAAACTTTCCTTGACCTGCAAAATTTTGAGAACTTCCCTCTTTCCTTGTTACTCTTATGGCAGTCTAACATTTGTTTAATGGAAAAATGAAAGAGTAAATGAATGAACAACTAAAAGTCCCTCTAATGTTTTCTAGAAATTGCTTTCTCTCATGGCAGATGAGTATTTAGGAAGAAAGGATAAACTAATACTTCAGCATGTCATGTTTAAGTCAGGTTTGAATAGTCACCCAGTGGAGACAAATGTCTGCAGGGTTTGTGTTACCTTAGAAAGCAGATAGATTGCTGGGCAGGGGTGGGAATACTTAAAATGCACAATTTCCTAATGATGACCAGGCAGAATTTTTTTTCTGGTTTTGATATTTAGCATGCATCAGGGTTTTTGTTACCTTATATCCAATTTACCTAATTCATCATTAAGTGATGCTGAAAGGATATTGTGATAAGGTTTTTGCTCTCTGGGTTTTGCATTCCTCAGGGGCAGTATTGGTGGATTTTTGTTTATTTTGTTTCCAGTGGCATTTAAAGAAGCAAGACAAAATAATCCATACAGAAACGTGAGTGTGTGTTTTTTTTTTTTCCTGTAAAAATCACTACTTCAAGTGATTTAATTTAAAGCCAAGGTCATTGCCTGCAGTCTGATCAGAACACACAGATAATCCTTGTCCTAGAAGATGAAATCACAACACTGATGATGTGGCACCATGAAACCACTTAAATTCTCAATGTAAGTCACCTATTTTCAAGAACACCATGGGGACCCAGACCTACAAGGCTACAGTTGTGGACTTGACTGGAGTCAGGCATCTTAACTTTGAAACCATTCCATCACCTGTACTTTTAGTCTGACCAGGCTACATTAAATGTGATGGTATGAGGGCAGAATTTTTAAGGACAATCAATTCAAGATTAATTGAGCATCCATTATAGTCTTGGCACTGGAATAAACACTGGGCAACTTTCTTATGGAATTTGCATTTTAGCATAGAACAGTCTAGAATG